TTGACGTTCACGGACTTCCAGTGGATGCCCGTTCCCTCGACAGGACGATTGCCGAAACCGCATTGCAACGCGCTTATGGCACAATTGCGGGACTACTTGCACACTGCAGTACCAGCTCCGTTGACGGACGCCGGAGCAGAGGTTGTCGACCTTCACGCTTACATCGCGAAGATCGACCGCAAGTTCAAGACGCAACGGTACGACGACATCGACGCACCATTGCTCTACGTACGCATTCAGATCGGAGAGGCGACCTGCAGTGCCTTGATCGATTGCGGAGCATCTCGCAACTACATTAGCCGGGACTTCATGGTGCGCGCCGGCCTTGGCCCACGCGTCCGGAGGAAGTCCTAGCCTGCGCAAGTCACGTTGGCGGACGGTCACACGCACAAGTCAATCAACCGGTGCATTGACAACGTCCCAGTGTACTTTGCCCCTCACGCAAGTGAGGCGGTGTCCTTCGACATTCTGGACACCGAATTTGACATGATCTTGGGCATGTCATGGCTGCGAAGCGAGGATCACCCTGTGAACTTCTTCCACCGCACCGTTCACATTCGTGTTCGGAACGGAGTACTAGTTCCATGCACGGTGCCTCTTCCTCATCCTTCGATCAGCTGCCACGTGGTATCCGCTGCAAGCATGCGAGCTTCCATCATCAGAGATGACATCGAGGAGATGGGGGTGTGTTTTCTCCACGCCCTCGCGCCCCATGAGGCTTCATGGACGGACTCACCTTCGGATCCACGCATCACCGAGCTTCTCGACGCCTACAGCGACGTGTTCGAAGGCCCGCACGGAGTAGTACCGGATCGACCCATCCGCCACGAGATCATCCTCAAGGACGGGGCCGTACCTCCGCGCAGTTGCATCTACCGAATGAGCGAGGAATAGTTAAGTGTGCTTCGGGCACAACTCGATGACCTTCTGGAGAAAGGTTGGATTCCGCCTAGCTGATCGCCATATGGTGCTCCTGTTCTCTTCGCCCGGAAGAAGAACAAGCACCTGCGGTTGTGCATCGATTATCGCAAGCTCAAAGCGCAGACGATCAGGAACGCCGGCCCTCTCCCACGCATCGACGACCTTCTCGAGAGACTGGGCGGCGCCAAGTTCTTCTCCAAGCTGGATCTCAAGTCAGGGTACCACCAACTCGAGATTCGCAAGTTGGACCGTTACAAGACCGCGTTTAAGACGCAATATGGGCATTTTGAATGGCTGGTTATGCCATTTGGCCTTACGAATGCCCCGGCCACTTTCCAAGCGGCTATGACAACGGAGTTCCGACACATGCTGGATCGTTTCGTACCTATCTACCTCAACGACATTCTGGTCTACAGTCGGAGTTTGGAGGAGCATGTGGAACACCTGCGCACCATTTTGGAGCGGCTACGACAAGCCAAGTACAAAGCCAACCGCGACAAGTGCGAATTCGCGCGGCAGGAGCTGGAGTACTTGGGCCATTATGTGACGCCGCAAGGCATCCGTCCGCTTGCGGACAAGATCGAGGCCCTACGAGCATGGCCCGAGCCCACCAACACCACGGACGTTCGTTCATTCATGGGATTGGCGGGCTACTATCAGTGATTCATCACCGGATACTCAAGGATTGCTGCACCTATGACGAGGTTACAGTCGCCAAAGGTGCCATTCGTATTCGATGACGACGCACGCCGGTCATTCCAAGCACTTAAGACGGCCATGCTCATGACACCCGTCCTCAGCATCTATGACCCCACCTTGCCGACGAGAGTGACTACGGACGCTTCCGGCTATGGCATTGGGATAGTCTTGGAACAGCACGACGGCGACGATTGGCACCCTGTGGAGTATTTCAGCCACAAAGTGCCTCCCATCAACTCGCTTGATGATGCAAGGAAGAAGGAGTTACTCGCGTTCGTCATGGCTCTCAAGCGATGGCGGCGCTTCATCCTTGGGCGTCGTAGGTTCACATGGGTCACAGACAACAATCCATTGACTTACTACAAGACGCAGGATACGGTGAGCAGCACGATCGGACGATGGATGTACTTCATCGACCAGTTTGACTTCACACCAAAACATCTTCCCGGCCTCTCTAATCGCGCAGCAGATGCACTCTCGCGAAGACCTGATCTTTGCGCTATGACTCATCATGCCTTCGCATTCGACGAGGAGCTTCAGCGACACTTCATCCGGGCATATGAGTCTGATCCGGACTTCGCCACGCTGTACACACAACTATCTTCGGATCACCCGCCGGCCAGCCACTATCGCATTGCCGACGGATACTTGCTCCTCCACTCGAGAGGCAAGGACTTATTGTGTGTCCCACGCGACTGTCATCTTCGGACTCGCCTTCTCGTGGAGTACTACGACTCGCGACTCGCCGGCCATTTCGGAGTCAACTGCACTATTGCACGGCTTCGACAGCGATTCCAATGGCCCGATCTCATTACCGATGTCACTCGGTATTGCGACCCTTGCGAAGTTTGCCGACGCAGCAAGCCCCGCAACCGCAATCCCTACGGCGAGTTACACCCGATGCCTATCMCWCGGGAACCCGGTCTCTCCATTGCCATGGACKTCACCGGTCCGTTTCCTCGCGACCGGCTCGGGCACGACGRCATCCTCACGGTTGTGGACCGATTGAGTAAGTACGCGCGTTTTCTCCCTTGCAAGTACTACTCCACGGCTCCCGAGCTGGCACGCCTCCTGCACACTGGTTGGATTTGTGGCCACGGTGTACAAGAAGACATTGTCAGCGACCGCGACACTCGTTTCATGTCGATGTTTTGGGCTACTCTCATGCAGGAGTCCGGCACAACAATGAAACCAAGTTCGGCTCGACATCCTCAGACAGACGGGCAGACGGAGCGGGCACATCAAACCGCTCAAATGATGCTTCGTACGCTCATTCGTCCAGACCAAAAAGATTGGGTTGACCGCCTCCCCGACATCGAGTTCGTCTACAACATTTCGGTGCACCCGGCGATCGGCGTGACTCCATTCGAGTTGCACCACGGTGGACGGAAAGGCCGCATCTTCGCCGACCTTCTCCTCCCTCGACCAGCCGACATTGACGCCGCTTGCCCCCCCGCTTCCGTTCGGAAGTACAGGGACTTGCTGACTCAAGCCCGCGCAAATATGCAAAAGGCTCAAGTTCGCATGCAGCAGCAAGCCAACAGGCGTCACGTACCATGTCCCATCTGCGCCGGTGATCTGGTTTGGGTCTTCGAGGAAGAGTTTGCGCTGGAACAGGACGTTTCACAGAAACTGCTTCCCAAGTGGTTTGGACCTTGGTCTGTGACAGCAGCCGCGGGCGATGAGCCCGATGGCCCTTCATTTGTGATCAACATTCCAGAGCATCTGACGGTCCATCCGGTCTTCCACGCCTCGAAGCTGGCAACATACACGCCAGCCAAGAGCGACGAGTTTCCGGGCCGACGATCGCAGGACCCTCCTTCTATGGATGGCCATCAGGAAGTTAACCGCGTCATCACCGATCGCAAGTACGGCAGCAAGCCGCGGCAGTACAAAGTCACATTCAAAGCATGCGATCGCGACGACACTCGGTGGATTTCAGGMGCAGATTTGAAAGCATCCGCACCGCTGATCTACGCGCATTAYGAAARGCGGAGGTTAGCTCAGGAAGCTTCACGACCAGTCCCTCCCACCCGGACTGTGGTCCCTCCCTCAGACAGACAGCTTCGCCCTCGCAGGTAAGCTCGGTTCTTCAAGGAGGGGGGGGTGTGGCATACTGCATAGCCACACGGGCCCTACAGGGCCCGTCCCAGACATTCAGCCTAAAAGCCTAAAACTTAGGGCTTACAGGCCCCGGTCGTTTCAGCCTGAAAGCTGAAAAACGAGGGCCTGCAGGCCCTACTCCGTTTCAGCCTATTTCTGGGTCTTTCAGACCCAGAGGTTTTCCAGCCTGAAACGGAGGGCCATTTTCAGGCCCTCATGGTTTCAACCGCCCCTAAGACTCAGGCACGTAAACAGGGATGCGGAACAGGCCAGAAATAGCCTGTTCCTCACGAGTTTGAGCAGGAGCTGCAGCGGCAGCCGCTGCCTCCGATCGGCATTGGCAAGAGCAGCCTCCTGGACTGCTCGCCTGCAGTCAGGAGGCACCCGGGTAGTTCATAGGGCTTCCCAGGCACTTCACGGTCAGGTAGTCAGACAGTAGTCAGGTGTAGTCTTCAGGATAGCGGAGCAGCACTCGGAGGAGCACTGCTCAGGGCAGATAGCGCTAGTGGTAGTCTTCAGCGCTGGGCGCCATAGCTGTAGTCTTCAACGTTGGGCGCTATAGTAGTAGTAGTGGTATGCGAGCGAGACACTGGCGGAGGCCAGTGGTACTTACCTGTGGCGCCATCGCTCCAGCTCCATCTTCGTGATACCTGCATCAAGGCGCCAACTTTACAGGTTAATACTGGACTGAGAGAAAGAGAGAGTTCTTCTTCTTCCTCTTCTAAGTCCACCATCTCTTCTTCCCCTCTCGCTGCCTACTTCTCAGTATTTGTGGACTACGAGAGAGAGATATGACCTGAGACTTGACGACATTGGATACAGACTCAACATTTGGGATTCAGACATTTTGACGAGGGACTATTTGGGCCTGTGCCGAAGACTTGGTGTTGACGACATTCCCATCTTCCCCTCCTCTTCGTCTAACCCCCCTCATCTTCGTTTGTGTATGTGTGGGGCTGGCGCAGTCTTCCTGTGTGAAGCGCCAGACCCCTTTCACACTCTGGGATGATGATGATGATGTATGTTCTGAGCTGCATTGCAACATTGATTGATCGGATCATTGGTATCTAAGTCTTCCGTTTGCGCCATCTTGTACTTTGCATTGAGAGGTCGGTTCTTGTTCTGGTCTGCACGTTACAGTATGCAACAGTACGCTATTAATGCATGTCTCCTCACTTATGTTCACAGCCTCTATACTGTTTCCGACTTCGCAGACATTGTCCGCTGAAGCGAAGTACCACAATGTCTTCCTGCGAGATGCGATGCAGCTTGAATATGAACGTGCATTCTTCGCATTCATGGGAAGGCAACCACACCTCCTGCCTGCCCAGTAGAAGCATAGACCTGTCGTTGATTTGGGTATCCACGCATATGCCCTACATTGTCTAGCCAATTTAAGTGCCATAACCTTCGCACACCACCGACCGGCTGTGTGGGATAACAGCGGAAGGGCCCACCAATGCATTAAATGACTCCTTAGTTCCATTCAGTTTGGCTTGTTGACCAAGAACAGTGGATTGTTGTGAGATAGCACCTTGGATGTGGTGAGGCTGTGACCCTTTCAGGAGACAATTCAAGCCGACCTTGCGCAGCCCTGCGCCCCCCCCCTCTGTGACTGATCAGCCTGCATCACCTGCCTGTGCACGTCAGACAAACTCTGCCAGTGCTGGTGAGGGGAACCCTTCAGAGGACCGTCACTGTGCCATGTCTTGCAGGTACTGGCCAGTTGCCAGGTGCACGGCATAATCTCCGCTCTGACCACTATGGAGGGATGGATGGCTACTGCCACCTTGAGTACCGCTATGAGAACTCTCATCCGTCTTTGTCTTGCATGCATTCTTCCCATCGTGTTATCAGCTGTCCAATATATTGCTGCCGCCTTGAAAAGCCTTGCTTGAATAACTGCAAGGTGAGTCTGTTTTCCTCTTGGCATGCCAATGACATGATGTGTGCCACCTATGTTCTCAGGAAGCTGTTGTAGACAGTATGAGTCTTCACAGTGTGGACTATCATGAAACTCCATAAGTTATTTGGCCGCCAATTGAAGGCCCAAAAGTCACCGTCCTCCACACCCTCTTCACTCTATCTTCCACATGCAATGTTGGACTTCCTTTAACTTCACCTGTGATGGAACTTACTTCATTCTCTTTTATTTTTCCTTTCTTTTTGCCGCCGGCTGAGGAATGGATACAGCGCCTGAGGTGGAAAACAAACTGCCACAAGAGCCACCTGCCAGGGAGCCTACTGAGAGGTCATCACCCCTGGGGAAAGCAGTGGCAGATCAGGTACTGCAACAGCTGAACATCGTTACTTTGGATCCAACCCTATCATCATCTATCTGCAGTCGGGCCACATCGGTAGCACCAAGTACGAGCCTGAAAAGATGCCCGAGCTGACGCTCA